TTATTTTATTTTTCCTTTGATCCACTCACTACCAGTTTCAAATTGGCTTGATTTAGCAAATACAATTATAAAAATTAACAAGAAGTACATGGTTTAGGACATTTTTTTTGTCTGTTCAAACTAATGAATTCACTTCAAGTTTGTAAATGTAATAAATCAGCTGCTGTGTATATTAAAGTCAATGTTTTTTGTGTGTGTGCTTTAAAAAACATCATCTTCTGTTGTTTGATTACACTGGAAAAAACCACATCAAAGAAATGAACAGATAATTTAACAAAACTAAACTAAGTCATTGACTAAAACTTTTGCTTTGCATGTATCGTGTCAAGAAGAATGTTTAAAATATGTGCACATACCGCTAGAATAAATAAAATGTTTTTAAAAGCCTTAAACCTTTAAAAAATATCATTTTAAATTACTGCTGGGCCACATTGGATCACATTACTTTATGGACAAAAACCCAAAGTTGTGCTGTCAGTCAGCAGCTGGACACGTCTCCGTCTTTTTGCTGCTGGACACACAGGTCCAAAATTTTGGAAGTTATTGTACTAGTTGCACTTTGATTTAATCCCCACATCTGGATTTTGTACATTTTTCCAGCACATTAATGAAGTTCCCCAAAACCTGTTGTGAAGAAAGGCAGAACCAGACGCTTGAGATGAATAAACCCCTTAAAAATGACAGGCTTGATACAAAAAACACCAAAATAATAATAAATGTGCATTTTATAAGTAACTAAATCAAATTTTAGTGACCCCTTGAGGATTTTCAACTTGACATTTTGGGCCCTTGAGTCAAAAATTTTGGACACAACTGAGGTGACCAAAGTCCTGGAGCAACAGTAAAGTCTTACTGCAAACTAAAACTAAAGTGCTGATTCTGAATAAAAGATAAGCAGATACTGAAATTGTGACCATAACTAGATAAGAAGGAATCTCAATATGAATAAATAGAAATCAAACAAATCCAGACTTAAAAGAAAATCCTTCAAACTATGACAAACTAATAAAAAATGGTTCATCACATTCTTCATTTCATATAATATAAG